AGTAATACAGATCGAAAGATTCCGCACCCACCGAGGCACATGAAACAAAAACAGTCCTAAACCGCTAACACGGTACACCATATGACATCTCACCAAAGTCAAATATATCAACTGGATGCTGGGGTGAAACAGCTACGAAAGCTGCGCAAGCTGTCATGTACCGGTGGTAGTGCTGGCGAGCGCGGACAACGCCGTGACTAGGATTTACATTTGGCAGACATTTTGGCGCCAATTTTGAAAGCTTTGCTAGCAGCTTTCCAGATAGCTGTAGCTTAGCTTAGCTTAGCTTGAGATTTGAAAAAGCAAAAGCTAATTAGCTTAGCTCCGAATATTGAAAAGCTAAGCTAAGCTGCAAAAGCTAAGCTAATACCAACTATAAATACATGGGCTGCTTAGCCAAACGCAACGCATTCATTATATAAATAGTACTACCTTTTAACTTTAATATTACATACTTGAGCGGATCAGGATATTTCTCGTAAACTGCATAATACAGTTCACGACTCGACGAGTCACCAAGAGCGGTCTCAGTTGGCGAGGAAGGTTAAATATCTTTGATGAGATTTGAATGCTTTATTTACTAATTCCACCGCAAGAGTATGCTTGTCGATTGTCCTCAATTTAGGTATATGTTTGGATGTTCATAATATTTCCGCAAATCTTTGCATATGCTGCGAGCACCGCATTCCTTGAAGAAGGAAACGGTAAGAAACGTTACGTAAGGGTTGACGTCGAGGTTGTTTTCGTCACAAAGGGCCTTGGCCTAGCTTAACTAGCTCCAGTTGCTAGTCTATGAGCGCAAAAGGTACATAGCCCTTAAGTAAGATCGATAGCAGCTGTCTCATGTCGTGATCATCGCGATGGCCACATTGATTAAATTCCTAGATAAGAGTCTGCATTATAGATCGACACACACACAAGATTTACTCCGTGGGTTCTTCCTGATCCTACCGATCCAAGCTCCACAGGAGTGCCTATTACTCATAGGTTCGTCTTTGGGTGCCTTCGGCACGATCTTTACCACTTGTTTTACAATTTGGTGACAGATCTGCAGATAATATGGTCCAATTTAAGCATTGTGTAAAGAACCGAGTCGTGTTCCATATTTGTTTGGCTTGATACAAATGCAATCGTGTCATATGACAGAGGCGACATATTTCCTTTAACTTGAAGGGTTGACCCAAGCCGTTGTATCTGTTGATCTGTCCGGGATATGCAAGGTCAGATCCCTCCAAAAAATTGAAACATTGATTCCTGCTTGACTTAGCAATGTTCTCTGGAGATCGGAGCAAGACCGGTTTCCACTGACTAGTGATAAAGGCTTTGCGCTGCATGGCAATTTGTGCACTTACAGCTGGCACGTTGGTGTGCTAAACAATGCGAGAAGTTACGATGAGGATAATTTGCTGTTATTAAAATGAGCTAACATTGTTGACTTGCGGCAATTCATCTCGGATCAAGATCCACACTGCACAGCAAAGTTTAGGCATACTTCGTTCGAGGCGCTCCAAACCAGACTGGACATCTTCATAGCATTGCACCCACATACTGATGCTCAGGCGAAAAGCTTTGAGCATGCGATCGAGGCTATCCTCAAATAAACTTGCACGGATCCATTGCGATGTTTGAACGAATTGCTCTCACTCATTGAGCTGGTGCTACATAACGCAGAATACATCGCTTCAGGATCCACCACATTTCTTATTATTGCTTTAGTCCTTCCTCGTGTCCCTTGACACCTCCACAACTTTGTTTCGGGCTTGATGGGAATGTGTTGTCTATGCCGATCAGCGAGCTGTTACTGCCACTCGACAAATTTATTTTGAATAAATTGCATAGTGCGCGATTCAATAGTCGGAAGCCTAGACTTGCGAACGCAACATGCTCGACACCCGAGGCAGATAAACATGAATTTGAATCGATAGCTAGGTTTCATTTGATGCTGTAAGTCTATCTACACATGCAAGTCTGTAGATATTTCGACTGTGCTGCACCCTTG